AGAGTTGCCAAAGACAGGAGTGAATGAGGAATTGTTCTGAAGACAGTTTTGGCTCATAACGAGCTGCGATGTTACTGATGATGATTACATACCATCTGCACAATTTACTGTTTGGCAGTTTTAGGCTCACAAAAATTGTTACACTTTACGCATATTTTTCTTGTTTGTCTTCTCTTTGTCTTTACTTCTAACATATATAATATGACATATATTATGACACCGTCCTGTTATATTACTGTATTGTTTAATTTTGACCTTAGCAATATTCAAAAGTTGAGTAGTATATAAGGAAGAAAGGATGTCCAATGTCTGGAGAGAGAGAGAGAGTGTGTGATGGTATCATTATATAAAGATAAAGGGATTATTCCAGACTGTAAGAACTATAAATAATTAAAATTAATGTTGCATACAATAAAAATTTGGGAGAGAACTGTAGAGCGGTTAAGGAGAGAAATGTCGATAGGAGAAGAACAGTTTGGGTTTATGTCAGGAAGTAAAAATACTTTTAGGTTTATAGGAGTTTACAGCTTCCCTTTTGCCACTTTGACCAGCCACTGTTTCGTCAATTTTTTTTCGGATAAAATATGTTTATACAAGGTGCCCAGAAACTTTCCTAACAAACGAAGACTGAAGATTCCTCAGATAATTTTAAGACAATTTAACCCAATTCACTGTAAGATATGGCTTAAAATAAACACTAGAGATCTTTCGTATGGCTGTTTATTTAAGAATACATAACACAAGTATCTCAATAACTTCTAACCGAAGTGTTTGCGGCTGCTACCGCCAGGCGCCTAGGTGACTGTCCTAAACAGGTAACTGTCATTACCATTAACTTTTAGGACTTCAGCCACCTTTACATATGGCACATATTACATTAACCTAGTCCTAAAAATGCTTCATAAGGGAGCTAGAGCTCTTTGAAGATGGCGTCTTGTAATTAGTTTTTTTTTAAACCTCTAGAACGCTTCTAGTTAGAAAAACGAAAACTGGTACGATTATTTATTAATCAGAGTTGAATGTGAAAACAATCAAATGTGAAAATTGGAATAGAAGTGTCAGAATAAGTGGAGATAAGAAGATGGGTCAGGCAAGGTTGCATACTGTCGCCGATTATTGTTTAATGCGTATTCTGAAGGAATCATACAAGAAGCTTTGGTAAACGACACAGTCGGCATAAGAATGAACGGAAGTTTAATTAACAACATTTGGTATGCTGACGATAAAGTCATAATAGCCGACAACTTTGAAGACTTAGAAATGAACAAAATATTAAGATATAGTGGAGAATATGGAGTCTCTCTTAAAATCAAAAAAACCAAATTCATGAAAATTAGTAAGAACAACAATACAAATGAAATATTAACGGTAGGCGGCCAGCAGATTGAGAGAGTAAAAAGATATACTTACTTGGGAACGATAATCACAGAAAATAACGATTATACTGCAGAGATAAGAGTCAGAATTGAAAAAAGCACGTGCCAACTTTGTGAAAATGAAAAAGATTTTATGCAGCAAAGATCTGACATTGGCCCTCAGAATAAGGCTAATTAAATGCTATGTATACAGTGTACTCTACTATGGAGCTGAATCATGGACATTAAACCGGAATACAATAAATCGACTTAACGCGTTTGAAATGTGGACATTTAGAAGATTGTTAAGGATTCCATGCAGAAGTGTTAAGGAGAATAGGCAGAGAGAAGGAAATGGAAAATACAATAAAAGAAAGGAAATTGCAATATCTCGGACGATGTTGGATGTAATGAGAGGCGAAAGATTCAACATCTTGAGACTCATAATTCAAGGAAAAATAGAGGGTAGGAGAAGCATAGGAAGAAGACGCGTTCCTGGTTGAAGAACCTGAGAGAGTGGTTTGTTTGCAGTTCAAGGCAATTGTTCAGAGCAGCTGCCTCGAAGGTCAGAATAGCCATGATGATTTCCAACCTCGTCGCGGAGATTGCACTTAAAGAAGAAGAGTTGAATCGATTCCATCCATTGCGAATTTCTAATACCGGTCATAAGCATTCGTTGTGAGTATGGCAACGATTATTTTAATGGATAACTTTTTTGTCTTTAACTTTTAAGCATTGGTTATACTAGATTATTAAATTTTTAGGTATTCTAGTACTAAAAGGTACTCTTACTTTAAGTCAGTAAATGTTTTTTTCAGTCAGTTTTTCATCATGAAAGTTAAATTAATAGGTACTAGGTAATAGGTACCTTAATTAATTTTATAAATTATCACTTGTTTCAATAAATGCAGCACACAATTCGCAAAAAAAATTTGGTAAAAGAAGCAAAACCTTATATTTAAAAAAAGAACAAATATAGCCAGAGCTGTGTACGATTCTGTTTTAAAATGGAATAAATAAATGCTTTTATGTATCATCAAACATAATCGTAAGGATTAAAATCCGGTGAGCTTACTGGTTCAAACAACTGGACCGCCTCTTCCACTCCAATGGTCTCCGTAGTTATTATTAAGAAAATCTTGTACATTCCTGTTAAAGTGAGCCAGGCAGCCTTCATGTAGAAATCGTAAGTTTTGCTGAATATTTAAAGGCACACCATCTAATGAATCAGGTAAATTTTTTTGCAGGATATGTAAGTAATCAGTACCATTTAAAACGGATAGGCTAATTCCACAGGCCCAAGTAGATAATCATTAGCTACTCCTATCCAGACGTTTCTACTAAACCTATGATGATGCTTAAACTCTTGAACAACGTGGGGAACAACCTGTTTTTTTACCTCTTCCTCCTCAATATTTATTTCTTTGTTTGTCGTCACCTCTGGTGTTGGTGGTTCATTATTGTCACCTTTTGCAAATAGGGATCGAAAGTAGTCTACCGATGTTTCCTTCTGAATGTGTTTCGTTTTTATTAGTTCGTTCATCTCTTTAAAAGTTGTGTTCAATCTGTTTTGAGAAGCTCTGCCAGTGTTGCCTTTTTAAGTGTCTAACCAAAGTATTCATTTCGAGTTTTGAATGGTTATATGTCTGTCATGTTTTTTGTATTCTGTACTATAAAAAGACTTTCTTCTTTTCTGCACATTTTGCCTTCACTTCTTCTCTAAACCGTGGTGTTTTTCTTTTTTGATATGTTAGTGTTCGTTATTTTCCTCTCTCCAAGTGATTCAGCTTTCCTTGATGTTATCGTTTTCTAATATTTTATTAACAGCAATCTTCTCTGATATTCTTTTTCTCTATAATCATTCCGTGGATTCCGTATTTAGTCCTTCGACTCCCAAACTTGCAGTATTTTAGGACGAGTCTTATTTGTCATAATACTAGGCTATGGTCGCTTCCTACATCTGCTACGCTGTTCATTTTACGTCGATTATTTTCCATAGATGTATATCTCTGTTGGTTATAACAGAATATATCATAGATCTTTGTCCACAGGTGTTATTAAATGTATATTTGGGTTAGTCTTTGTGATCAAAAATGTGTTCTTTATTCGTTTAGCAGTTTATCACCTGTTCTCCATTTTTATTTTTAACATTCTCGTTATGTTTTTGCTTAATTACGGGTATCGAACTTAGTAGTTTAGGTTCGTAAATGCCCCTTTGCCCGCTTCTCGTCGATCGATGATGATTAGGGTTAATAAATGTTGAAGTTGTGGAGTAAAAGTGATGATTTATTGACAGCAAACTCGTAATTTCACAATATGGTGTTCGTTCGGTAACTACTCAATATTGACTGTGTTCATTTGAACTCAAATCCCCCAATTTATATATCTCACACATAATAGATACATAAGCACCTTAGGTCATTGCTTCGTTCATATCACACCACCTAACTTTTGCTTATACCTAATACAATTTAATCTACTCCTTAATTGCAACACTTAGGAAGTTCAATTAGAAAATATTAATATTCGGCAATTTATTTAGTTGTAGGTAATATGAACTAATTATTAAATTATCATACGATATGGTTTTGCAATATATTATATAATGCAAACTTATACACGGTGAAAACTATAAAAGATTAAGAAGTTAAGAATAATGTGAGGATTACAAATTAAGGGGTTAATTTGTGATTGAACACATTGATTGCCTATTCGTGCGTTAAAATCCCCTAATATCATCTTCCCTCTGACTTGATCTACTACTGGTTGTAATTAGTCATAAAACATTTTCCTTATTGTTTAATGTTGTTTAAGGCTTGTTATTTTCTGGGCCGTATAATCCGATGATATTCAGGTCTTCCTTCTCCATTGCTGTCTTTGCAGTTACAATCCTTTTTGATATGTATTGACATTCTTTGATGTGATTGTACCTTTAGTGTACCAGTAAGGCTACACCTTCTTTGGCCCTGTTTTCTTTTGCCACTCCACCGTAAATTAGTATGTATTCACCTAATTTTGATTGTCCTTTTCCTTACTTTTTTGTTTTCTGTATACCACAAATGTCTCTTTCTTTCTCTTTCAGCACTTGAGTTATTTCTTGGTCTCTTGAGTTGAGCGATCTGATATTCCCAATATTTTCATATCGGTTTTCTATATTTTTTGCTGGTCCTTATTTGTTGCCTTGGTCGTCTTCATAGTATCAATCCGGTTCCGAGGCTGTACATTGTTTCTTTGATCAGTATTCGTTTTTACGATTGGTAGGTTGTTAACCTTGCCAATCACTCCCACATTTTATCCGGGATTGGGACCGGCGTGACTCAATCAACCATAGATAAATAATATATGCTCAATCAACCTCACAATCACCCCAGTAAGTCTTGTGTCAAGATTCATACAAATAAAGTTTACCTATATATATTTCTAAAAAGATATTTTATCTATATCGTTATTACCCAAAACACTTTTATTTTTAAATAACAAATACTTGATAAATAAATTTATCAGGAATATTTAAGCAAAATTAAGATAAACAAGTACCCTTTTTTATTTATTAATCTATGTAGATCATAAGAGTTTTGCCAATGATAATATAAATATGGTAATCTTAATTATTATGCTCTTATAAATTGTGTGAATTCATATTATAATTTATATGAGAACTAAATATGTTGTGTATAAAAATTATTGCAGCGATATTTATCCTTAATTTAGGGTAAGTTAAAACAAAACCTAATACAAATATATAACAAATATATTCAAATAGGATAAATAATTATGGTTCGAAAAAGATTAAAGGTTCGCTAAAATTAATATATTAGTTCGCAAATATATAATTCTTCCCTCTCTTAATAGAATTACCCATTCTAATTTTTTTGCCATTTTGACCAGGTCATTTTTAAATAAACTGTATTGTTTATTCTACTTCAAATTATATTTTTATTTCTTTCTTTGTTTCTGTTTTAATTAAAATTTATTTTTAACCCCCTCTGTGGCTCAGTGGTAAGAGCGCCTACCTTTAAACCTAAAGGTCGTGAGTTCGAATCTCACCTGGGTGGAAATTTTCGTTTATTAAACATTAATGAATGAAAATAATTTCTATCCTTGTGCGATCGGTACTCACCGGAGGGACTGCAGACGTTCGGATACAATTAGCGTCTCTTAGCAAAGACAATGACGTCGACTTTGCTAAGTATCAAGACATTTACTCTACACATACACACACTGCCAATGACCATTAGTTGTCGACGCATTAAACTCAATAAAAAAAAATTTATTTTTTTAAATTGTAAACACCCTATTTTGACCCCTATGATCTTCTCCATTTTACATATATGTGATTCTCTATTTTTTATGTTTAGTATCCCCACTTGTTTATACCTTATACGTTACGTTGCCTCCTGATGTCTTCACTTTCTTTCTCAGTGTATTTTCTGTAATTCTTTTTTAAGAATTTTAAGACAAAATTATACTTTTATTATTTCTTTGAAATGAACCAAAACATTATTAAAAGATTCTACGTTAAAAATTATGTCATTCCAGAAAGATATTAAAATACCAATTTGTGTTTACCGTATTAAATTACCATGAGAAGTGTTTATATAAAACTAAAATTAAAATCGTGTATAACAATATTATGGCATTAGATTGTGAATTAGCAATGTATAAAAATAAAATTATACTTTATCCCAAATTTCGAAATTCGTTCACATAAAAATACAGTTATTTATTATGTAGAATATCTATTATAATTAAAATATCAATCAAAAGAAAACACTTCACTGTTTATCTAGTTCGTAAATATTCTTCGCTTGTTCAATAAAGAAAAATATAGAAATCGGTACAACTTATTTATCCAACTGTTGGCGGTTATGAAGAAAAGAATATAATTTATTTCTTTTTACCCTCAAGTAGTTGGCTGAATGAAACCATGAGTATGAGTCCATTTAGCACTAACATACCATACACCATAAAGAGATACAGGGGGATTCGGTTTCAGAACACCATATCACAAATCCATTCATATATAACCTCGGGCCAAATAAGCATATTTTAGCAACATTCAATTCTCCCCATAAAGGTCTAAAAATACATATTTATCTAAAAATATATAAAAGAAAAGGATTTTTTCGGCTTACCTCTTTAAGAGACCACTTAAACAAAATAACGTCTTAACTGTTTGACGTTCTAGGAGATAAAGATGGATGACAAAGAATTGCGCTCGGGAATCGAGACGTGTGACAAGTAGGGTCCTTGAGGTAATTAAAAGCACTCGGCGAATAGTTGGCGTGAACAATTTTATTTAAAAAAATTTACTCGAATTTATAATGAATTTTCTGAAACTTTTGAAACGGTTACAATCGTATTGGACGATCTTTCTCTTGGTCTTTGGTCTTCTAGTTTCTTTCTACTACCAATAGTTCCATGGTCCCCGTTCGTATCGCTATGTGGTTTAAGTAATTTAGGTATGCTCGGTTTACTTTTTTAATATTCTGAGAGTCCAAGTTTTAGCTGCGTATGGAGCAATGAGAATAAGCTGAGCTTAGTATTCTTTGTATACAAATACAGAAGGAAATACGAAGAATAGCAAACGATGAAATAAAAAAAGGTAAACGTGTCCAAATTAAAGCCAACAAACTTATAATAGATGGTTGAGAAAGGAAATGGAACAGGAACATCAACCAGCTGAAGGACCTTCTTGGATTCGGTTCAAAAGACTGCAAGGGAGGAGACTATTCGTTGACAGACAAGGCAGAGAAATAGGAAATTACTGCAGATAAACTCATGTACAACAAAAGTGAAATAAAGAAAGACAGATAAGAAAACAAAAATAAAACACGAAGACAACACGACAAAAAAAATAAAGAGTTGAAAAAAAACATGGAACAGGAACTATGCTAGCACCAGGAAGAATACTAGAATTAGGAAAAGAACTCAAAAAGTATAAAATAGATATTGCAGCACTGCAAGAATTACGTTGAGAAGGACAAGGACAGATTGATAAAGAAGACTGTACAATGTTATATTCAGGAGGAAAACAGCAAGGGCAAAAAAAGATGGGATTCATGATACTAAGGCACCTGAGATAAAATTGTAAATTTCAAGCCAATATGCGAAAGGATGGCCTCTGTAAGAGTCAGCAACAAAATATTTAATATATCAATATTGAACCTATACGCCCCTAGAGAAACAAGTAATGCAGACGAAAAATATTTGTACTAGGAGATCTCAATGCCCAGATTGGAAAAGAGGACTTTTTACAACATATTGCAGGAAAGCATTACAATGCATGAAAACACGAATGACAAGGGCAAAGACTATGTTACCTAGCAACAAGAACAAATTTGTTAATAAGCTCAACAAAATTTGAACACCATAAAATACATAAGGTAAGATGAGACGACATACAGTCAAATTGATCACATAATGATTAATAAACGAAGCAGATTCAGACCACTACATGGTCACATCCACTATAAGACAAAAAGTTAAAATTGAAACACCACAGAAAAACCAACATAAGAAGTGGAATGTCGATAAAATAAGTAATGAGGTAGAAAGAAAAAAAAATATGAAGAGATAGCAATAGTTCAAATAAAAGAGAAATATAGAACACAAGATATAAATACAGAATGGAAGACGATCAAAAAATCAATAGAAGAAGGTGCAAATATGCAGGTAGGTAAAAGTCAGGATAAAACAAATAACGGATGGTATAACCAAGAATGTAGAGAAATAACAGAAAAAAAGTGCAAGCCAGAATTAAATGGCTAAGAACAGGTAAACAGGAAGACGGAGAAGAATGTAAAAAATTAAGAAAGAATGCTAAGAAAGTGATAAAAAATGCAGGAAATAGAGCAGGAAAGAACAAACAGAAATACGAAAAATTTTTACAGAAAGAAGAACAAAAACAAAAAATACAAAGGCAAGACAAACGGAATAAAAAGTTAAGAAGGAACAGTGATTACTAGTGGAGGGATTACAGAGAGCTCTTGACGGAGGAAACAACAGGAGAAGAAATGAATAACGAGGAAGAAACGGTTCACGAAGAAGAATCAGACGAAGTAGATGAAGTAGACATCGAAATTTTAAAAGAACCAACATTAGAGGAATTAGAGGAAGTAATACAGAGAAGCAAACATGGAAAAGATCCTGGTAAAGATGCAATTATTATGGAACTAATAAAATGCGGAGGAAGGGAGCTGAGAGGAAAATACTGGCATTATTGAAAAATATATGGAAAGAAGAGGAAATGTCAGGTATTTTAAGCGGTAAACGTATGGGAAAAACTCGTACTGAATAATAGATCTAATGCTTGCTAAATTCAATAAATAGTTCGGGTTTTTAGAAAACCGCTATTTGAAGTACGGTTAAGAATTAGGACAGGAGAAGTGAAAAGTGAAATACAAAGAAAATCAATACGAGAAATTATAAAAGGGAGATGCAACGTTGTAACGTTACAGTGGAATTATTTCAGTCGATCAGATATAGAAAGTTATTCATTTCATATTTATATTTATATTTATATATACTTTAATTTATATTCACTGACATATTGTTTTAAATTTCTGTTAAGTTTTATAATTGCTTTTAGTCGTTATTCCATGCATATATGAAACTTATCAAAATTTTCTTTTTTGGGCATGATGGTTCATCTTCATTTATTTTAGTATTGAGTGGGTCTTAGGTTTCACAAAAATAAAAGTGTTCGTGTTCATTGAACTTTATTTTGTAAATACAATTTTGTTCCTTTGGGTTCCAGGTTCGAGGATTAATAGTCCACACCATTAAATTTGGATCACAAGTTGCTTCGCAAAAAATTGATCTTGCTGTATTGTTTCCTCAAATACCGTAGAAATGTTGTTTTCTTTTAGAACTTTTTTTTTAGTTTTTCTGACAATAGCTTTACTATTGGAATCATTTCTTAAAAGTTTTCTGGATCTGGTTTTTAGTTTTGTGCTATTTTTTTCTCTATTTGGTATAGATTTTATTAATGCTTTTTTAAATAAGGCACATAGTTATGGCTCTGTTATTTCTAACAATAATATTAGGCTCTATTATTTTATATGTAATTATTTAATAATCCGCTTTTTAATTTAAATATTTGTTGGTCTATTCTACAATTTTAATGAGAATAACATTTTTTAATGTTTTAAATTTATTGTGGATTCAGTGTTAAATAACTGTTTTCAGATTTTTAGATGCACTGAATAACAAAAGTTTTCCACCCGATTTTATGTTTGGATGTGCAACTGCTGCATTTCAAATAGAAGGTAAGATACACACAGATTCATACACACAAACCTACACACGTAACACATACACATACACACACAGCAAGAAAATTAATTCGTGGAGGCAAAGTGTTATTAAAGGCCATGGCAACGCTAAACGTGGTCTTGGTTAATAGTGGTGATACACCTACATTTACTAGAGGATGAGCAAGTTCCATTGTTGATCTCACTTTCATCAGCACCTGCCTTATTAAGGAAACTGTCTTTGGAAGGTAGTGGATAGTTACACAGCCAGTGACCATAATGCGTTACTATGGAAAGTATTTATTGAAAGAAGTATCGGAATGATACATACTCGAACTTATGCAGTTGCTTGGAAGGTAAAATCTTTGGATCCGATTGCTTTTACAGTAGTTCTAGATGGTGACCCAATCACCGCTGTAGACGCTGAAAATAAAACCGAAGAGCTAATAAAAAGGATCGTAGAGGCCTGCAACGAGAGTATGTTCCGAAAATGCGACACAACACAACGTTTAACGGTATACTGGTGGAATTATCACATAAGTACTCTAAGTAAAGAGTACGTAGAATGTATATAGAATTATTTGAACGTAGTTCAAAACGAGAACATCAACTAAGCGTGGCTAGAGAAGACAAAACTCTGCAGATCTGGTGACAGAGTACAATAGCTTACGCAAAAGACTAAATAAGGCAATCAAACACAGCAAAAGACAATGTTGGATGAAGCTTATCAATGAGATTAGGTTTCCTCGCAATTGTAGAACTGTAATACGTAAAAATCAGTAAAAAGTAAAATAATAATAAAAACACTGCCCCTTTGGTATATTGTGGTTTTGATTTAAATCAATATTTTGAGATATTTACTATTTAATTTTTACAAAAAGCATAATGACTGAAAATCCGGACTCTAGTTAGATATTAACGATGGTTGGATATAAATGTTTATTAATTCTAATTAATTTTTTATTACTAGTCTTGTTTATTAATAATTACTTCTTAAATAAATTGTATATTACAATTATATTTTAATCTACAAATAATTCTAGGAGCATGGAACGAAGATGGAAAGACTCCCAGTGTATGGGATACGAACAACCACAGAATCCCTTCTGTAATAGCAGATAACAGCACAGCAGATGTGGCTTGTGATTCCTACCATAAATACAAAGAAGATGTCGCTCTTCTTAAAGAACTTGGCGCTTCCCATTACCGATTTTCCATATCTTGGCCAAGGATTTTACCAAATGGTAACTATTTCTTCAATATTCTTTCCTTTTCCATTTTATAATATAAGGTGGCTGGACGAAAACGAAACAGATGCATTATTAGGAGCTGTGACAACATCTTTGAACACGTCGATTTTTTTCGCATTTTTTCGATATTTTCGATTTTACTTTGACCCCTAAGCTGAAGTAAGAGTCACACCAATATTTTTTAATAGCAATGGGGATCAAATAAGATATCGGTTTAAAGGCCTTGCAATTCCTCATACTGTAGCGAATATATTTTGCCTACATAGGGTATTATTATGGGGGTTGAAAATTGGGACAGAAACTATTGGGCTAGAGATAGGACAAAAAAAGCAAATCGAAACTTTACGAACGGCACTCAAGGTTTATTTGGAGAGCTGAGGTCGTGGATAAGTGAATGGCAAGGGGTCGGATTGGGCAACTACAAAAATGAAACAAAAGAGGGTACTTATATCAATCTCCTGGACAAATGGGCAACAAAACACAGTAAGTTGCCTCTAGCAATTTAAAATTAACGCCGCTTCGAGGTGCCAAATTATAACGATCACAACAACTAGTTGTAATTATTGAAATAATTATTAAAAATAAAAAATATATCTTTTCAAATAAAACTCAAAAAAGGGGTTAGTCAAGCAAGATAAACAAACAAAATAGTTTTAAAAAAATTTAAACATTTATTGTGTCTTACCACAAACAATTACAAAATATAAATAATGCAAAAATATTGTTCTAAAGCTATTTTCTTGTGGCATTGTAAATTAATTACTGTTAAACTGGGAATAAGCCACAATTAAAGATAAAAATACGTTTATTGACGTTTCAATTTCCACTTCGGAAATCGTTCTTAAAATACAAACAGTAAATTAAACAAATTTTGTTTTTTGTTACACAGTGAAAAATTCTTCTAATAATTTAATTTTATCTGACTCATTTATATTGACAATTCAGACATACATTATGCATTTTAAAGTAGACGACTTTAAAATGATATTGTCAATATTGTTGAGTTGCGCTCCTGGGACGACTTTACTTATAAGATAGTTCATTCGATTACATGAAATCAACTTTAACTTGAGAATATCCGTCAGAAAAAATCATAGCATGTAATTCGTCTTTAAAAAGACAAACACATGACATGATGACAGTAAACTTCTCCTGTTAGTGATTCCATTCCATCAAGCGGCTCTAATTATGCTAAATGAGGCCAATTGTGTCGCAAATTCCTCGGCAGAATGTAGTAGGATCTGGTTACCAATATTGAAAGAGGAAGTTATTAATAAGAAAATACCAGTATTAGTAAGTCAGTAACATATAGAGGATACATCATTTATATTTTTTAAATAACGTAACATATAAAATCAGAATTTTGATGTTTGTTGAAGATAAACTAAATTCACGAACAAATACTTACAATGTCGGGATAGTATTATGAGGTTTTTTTTCCTGGTTTTTCCCTCATAATTTACTATGGAATCACTAACAGGAGAATTTTACTGTCATCATGTCATGTGTTTGTCTTTTTAAAGACGAATTACATGCTATGATTTTTTTTCTGACGGATATTCTCAAGTTAAAGTTGATTTCATGTAATCGAATGAACTATCTTATAAGTAAAGTCGTCCCAGGAGCGCAACTCAACAATATTGGCAATATCATTTTAAAGTCGTCTACTTTAAAATGCATAATGTATGTCTGAATTGTCAATATAAATGAGTCAGATAAAATTAAATTATTAGAAGAATTTTTCACTATGTAACAAAAAACAAAATTTGTTTAATTTACTGTTTGTATTTTGAGAACGATTTCCGAAGTGGAAATTGAAACGTCAATAAACGTATTTTTATCTTTAATTGTGGCTTATTCCCAGTTTAACAGTAATTAATGCAAAAATACTCAAAAATAGACAATACAAAATTACTATATGAATAGTTACAAAAGTGAATACAAAAATAACAAAGAGAAACACTTACTATTGTTACTGGGCTATAATTTAGATCACAAATAAATTACAAATCAAATATTTTCTTTTTAAATGATGAAAGCAATTATTAATCAAAATGTTTATTTTTACTTTTCCTTTAAAATTTAAACATAAAAGTTACCTGGATTGCACTGGGGTTTTACACAAAAATGCTGGGGGTGGAAACCAGACTTCACTGCAATCTGCCACACGAACAAATAGACTACATCTATAGTCTGGAACAACGACCAGGGACAAAAAAAATGAGGTTCTTTCCGTGTACCCTCTTATTGATTGATTGGGGGTTACACAAAGAACGGTACTAGGCTCGGGCTTCAGTCTGGTAGAGGTATCGTGGTCGGGGTTCTTGTTACAGCTCAAATATCACGGATCAATTAAAAAAGTACTTACAACACAGAGACAAGAAGTTAGAAGAGAAGATAAGAGATAAGAGAAGAAAAGTTATTTGGGCACCACCCTATTTTTAGAGGAACAGGGAAACCTTAAGGCGCATAGAAAAGGATGACGAGCAAGGTAAGGTACAGCTAGAGAACTCACGCGAGAATAAAGTAAACCGTGAGAAAAAAGGTATCGGAATTATGCGGTACACTCCTAATATTTCGACACATATACACAAAATATACGATCTAACAAATAATAATATAATTCAATAAAAAATGCCTGGAAGAGAAACACAAAAATATACATTCAAATTATATACAAAAATATAAAAGAAATAAAAAGCAAATAGATCTTTAACAAAATTATATTTAGGTATATTTGTTAAAGTAAATGTACTATACCGAATTTTATTGGATAGTTAAATGGCATGATTATTGCGCAACTTACTACTAATTACAAACAAAAAATATCTCTTTGAAAAATAGTTATAAATAATTTAGTATCCTCAAGAATTAGAAAAAAGCAAGGAACATTATAATTACATCTACTTTAATATTTGGCAAGCAAGTGAATTTTACGCCTTGAGGATACCTGAATATGAAGTTACTAGGTTTTTGATCGTGATCACTTCAAATCTAAGAATAAAATTTATCAGAAATATAATCTACATATAAAATAAATTGTCCGTTATTTATAAGTATATATTATCCTGTATTTTTATAAAATACTCAGTCAAACTAAACCTCCATAAATAAGAAGGTACACTGAACTGGAGTCATAAATCAACTTCTAAAGATTTCGTTATCACAGTTTAGTCAATAAAAATTATAGGTACTCACAAAACAGGTGTATTCAAAATAATGGTATTACGCCCTCAATAAGGCATTTGACTTCGGTCCGTACAACAGGTAGTTGGGATGACAGCCACAAAGAATTGCGGTCTTATTAACGTAATCCCTTTGATTACCTTAGGCTGACGAAAAGAGTCAGTTAGACCAAGGTAGTCCAATACGGTGAGAGAAGAGTAGTAGAAGAACGGTGTAGAGTAGAATATGAACGGTAAAATCTAAACGATGTAGCGTAGAATATGAACGGTAAAATCTGAACGGTGTAGAGTCTAAATGGTGTAAGATCCGAACGGCAAACAGAAGTGACTTCAATTGGAAAATGTCTGTTTGACAAAAGAGAAAATAATTAATATAAGACACACTGTATAAAGATAAATAAGGGTGAATTGAAAATCCACTTACCGCCGATTGTCGAAGATAAGACCGCTTGCCACAGGAACCAACTTGGAAATGAACATCGTATTGTGAACTTAGAAGGGCTTAGACAAGCGAAGGTTGAAAATTGAGAGGGGATATTGGCTGAAGGATGCCATGCGAAATTGACATTAAATTGCTGGGCTACTGGGGTTAATTTTCGTAGCTTTTACCAATGGAAAGTAACTTTCTACGAAAAACAGCTCTTCTGTTTTTCTGAGAAGGTAGCTCGGAGATTTCACAATAGAGACCTTTTTCCTTTGTTATTAGGAAGATTTTTATGTACCAAAACAAGATAAAAAGCAGAAGAAACATTTGGCGGAGTTATTTCTTTGTTGAAAAAAGGCGTAACGAATTATTAGTGTCGGTTATTTGGAAGATATGCAGGCATGGGCGGCGTGAAAATAATTTACTAAAGGGAATAATTTAAAGAAATTATGAACATGCTTCAATTGCACTGGGGTTTTCCACAAAAATGCTGGGGGTGGAAACCAGACTTCACTGCAATCTGCCACACGAACAAATAGACTACATCTATAGTCTGGAACAACGACGAGGGACAAAAAAAATGAGGTTGAAGTGGCACTGGAACACAAACTTTAGACTCAGCTTCTTAAAATAACAGGAAACTGGAGCATGTGGATATCTTTCAAAACCTCACTTAAAACTGTAATTGAACCATTAAACTGCTACTTTACTTCACTACACACTAGATTTCTATGAAAAGGGCGAAGAATCAGAAAACAATACAAATGCGACGTAGTATTTTGGACAAACGCTAGAAGCAGCTGTCAACGCTGACAACGCCTCAGCGAGAGTGAGCAATTATCTTTTAAAATTCGTTCGCATAACTGATAATAAACAAAACACTTACAACGGGAACTTAAATGCAAAATATTAAGCGGCTTTGAACAAAGAAGTATCGAGGAAAATACGCCGCTGTGAAAGACAGACAAACTATAAAATTTGAAAATAAGGCTATTATCGAGCACAAGTTAATTAAATCTAGCCCAAGTACTTTCGCTTAAAATAGCATCTTCAGGGGCATTTCGTCAAAATGTAAACTATCCGGCAAGCGTAGAATGTGGAAACATTAAAAATAACATAAAATTGTACAAAACACTACACTAAAACGAGGACAATCAGTTTAAAATTACTTAAAGATTCTACGCTACATTCTCTGTCAGTATCTGGAGGGATAATTCGAGCGTTCAACCTCATTTCATTTAAACTATAAAATGGTTTACATTAACTCAAGCGACGTAAAAGGAAATTGAAAATAATTTTGGATATTTTAATTTGTATGAATAGGAACTGAAATACACTAAAAATATTCTTCGTTATTTTAATCCATAAATGAGGGGATTTCAATTTAATACATATACGAGGGGATTCCAATGTATACCAAGGAAACTATATATTAAGGATTTAAAAATGCTACAATACATTGGTCTTTTAATTCTGTTCAATACTTAATTTGATTTATTAAAAAAAAAGAATAAATTGTAAAATAATATTTTAGCTTCTTACTTATTTCTTAGTTGATCAAATGTTGAAACTGATGATCTCCGGTATTCATATACAATGATAAATATTTTAAAGCATTTACGGAGTGATTTGATAATTCGACTACATAAATCTACCAAAAATGCCGATGGTGCTTGATAAATTTTACTTTTTGAGTGTCCCTACAAAAACAAATCCAGTTGAGACAAATCTGGCCACATATGATGATGCAATTTGATGCTGCCTCTTTCTCCAATCCAATGCCATAGAAAAGTTGTCTAAATATTGACGATCAAGTAAGCATAATGCGGAGGAGTACCCTCTTGTTAATTAGTTAAATGATCTTCAACATATTTTTGATGATGTTAAAAATAATAGTCAAAACCGAATTAATTATGTCTTCAAGTATTTTTAAATATATTTTATCAGTCAAATTGCTAAGAAAAAATGGTCCCACCACAGTTACCATCATGGTAACGCCAGCGTTACCGTGATTTTTGATGTGAAAATCAAAATGTTTTTATCGTTATTTCCCATACATATAGTAGTTAAAACAGCTTTTGTTGTTGCAACAATTATAATTACTATGTTTTTCGGGTTTATAGCAACTCGTCGTCTTACAGTAGTAATGATTAACAGTGAGACGTAAGTTCCAATCTTTTACCGTAATGCTCATCTATCAGTCGACATGATCCGCAGGGGTACTACAATTCAAGTCAAAAATCCATTTTATATTTTAAACTACATATAATGTTAAACTTTTTGTTTTTGTGGCTCATGTAGAGATTTAAACCAAGAAATCTTTACACCATTTACACTCAAAGTGAGTACAATGACCCACCTGGTCATTTGATTTATATATTTAAGATTAGGTTTATATTTAAGATTTTTATAAAAATTCTTGGACAACAAATAAAATAAACAAAACTTTTATTTAAGGTACCAATGATTATATCAATCCCCTTGGTGTAGCTTATTACAAGAATCTTATAGCTGAACTGAAGGCTAGCAATATTCAACCTCTTGTAACAATTGCTCATGGAGATCTTCCTCAAGTACTTGGTGATTTAGGTGGGTATTACAGTCTCTCTTTTCCTGATTGGATCAGAGATTTTGCGAGAGTTCTTTTTGATGAATTTGGAGACGATGTCAAATACTGGTTTACTATAAATGAACCATACGAAGTTTGTATATATGACGGTGCAGAAAAGGCGTACGATTGTGCTGCAAACTTACTTAAAGCTCATGCTAAAATTTGGCATTTGTATGATGAGGAATATAGATCTAAACAACATGGTAAGTATTTAAATATTTTGTTTATGTTTATATTTAAATTATCTGTAGAAGGAATCTGTCATACATAACAATTAAACAGCGGAAGCTGTATAAAATTTTCATTACATTTAGAATGTAAGATTCTCTCAGTTTAAGACCATAACGTAGTTAACACAGTTCGATTTTAACGTTACAAGCGACCAGTTCTCCGTGTACTGTGAGACCTTGTGTTAATTGCTGTACCTTTTTGCTAAATTGATTCTTTGTTTAAAAATAAATTAGACACCAAATTAGCATAGATGAGATCTCGGGTGGCAGTTTGCGACCGAAAAATTAGGATGTAGGGAAGGATAGGTATTTACATAATTCGATAGATTTGAATAATAGGTATGGATCCGAGGATAACGGCCCATATTATATACATAAAATATACTGATATGAACTTTTTCCAATCAGAATCGGTTGTATTTTGTTAACAAACAACAATATAAAAACAGATTTTTATGATATAAAATCAGTTTAAATCGAATTAAAGTTATTTTTATATCATATTATAAAGCTAATTATCTAGTTAATAACAAAGTTATTTCCGATAACATTTTAGTAGCGTATATATGTACTTAAATTTTGACTCATAAAAAAAGTGTATTAAGGAGTGTAGATACATTTTTTTTTGAAGAATATTTAAAAAAAAGGTATAATTTCAAAGAAAGAGGTCATTCAAGTGAAAAAGGAAATTTCAAAGGAAAAATAATAGATAAATACGGCAATATTTCATATGTAAAGAGACAAACGTTTATTGTTGAATTTTTAGGAAATTATCTTCCTCAACGCATACAGATTAACTTACACGATTTCTTTTGTACAACCATATATCTTTCTCGTTGTTCAATGTTTTAATTGCTTACGATATGGATACTCTGCTAAACAATATGCAGTGAAACCTCGATTATCCGTCAGGGCACCGAACCAAGGGTATGACGGATAATCGAAAAGACGGTTAACATAACATTAAAAATTCATAGTATAACTTTCAAATTTTATTTGTATTATTTGTTTTATTTGACAATATAAGAAGCATTTATGTTAGTACAGTCGAATCAATTTGATTTAAAATATTCCGAAATTTTTGTTTGTTTTATTGTTACTTCACATTTTGCAACGGCTGAATTTCTTACTCGACGTAAAATCGTCAAATCTACCTTATTTGCTTCTTCTTGCCGAGAGTACCACTCGATGAATTGTTGTATGTGCGATGCAGCTTCTCTAGCTTCTCAAATTTTTGTGAGTTGCAATAGCCAACATCGCCACCGTCAAAATCTGTGTCAGCTTCTGAATCAGTTTCGTCCATCTCTGTTGCCATTTCAACGATTTCATCCTCTGTCAGCAATCGATAGCCGTTTGCGTTCTCGTCACAAATTAACCATTTGTTTATGTCATCTTTAGGCAACGAAAACAAAGCAGTTGATTCAGCCATAATTTCATTTGTTAACGCATCATGCTCTGCTATCACGGGGGCATTTTCATCTTGAGCTGAGTCAGGCCATAATTAATTCCACGCTCTTCTCAGCGTTACTTCCGAATCATCAGCCGAAGCATCCACAAGATTGTCGACTGCGTGTTATTGTATGCTTTCCAGTATTCTGGCAAAGAATATTCCTCTTCCATAACAAGGTTTTGAATAATTTTTGCTGTATCTTCTTTTGAATGTTTCAATGACCGATTGATCCATTGGCTGTATCAGTGATGTTGTATTCGCAGGCAGAAAAGAGCATGTGACATTTTCATCGTCATTTCGCAGCATACCGGCTTCAGGATGGGCAGATGCATTGTCCAAAATGAGAATCGCCTTTGATGGCAAATTTTTTGCTTGCAAGTATTGTAGAACGTCCGGTATAAAAATCTAAAAAAACAAGACGTTAGAACAATAGACAAACAAATTTTGGTTTGCAGTACATACCTTTTTGAACCAGTCAACGAATATTTCCTGGGAGATTTATGCATTATGTTGTACTTAGTAGTTAACGGAAAGCGCGTTTATATTTATGCCCTTAAAACAACATGGTTTTTTTCTTCTGTACCAATCAATATTAAAGGCAACCGATGGTCACCACTTGCATTTGAACACATCATTGCTATGATTTGTTGCTTTTGTGTTTTAAACCCGGGTGCATATTTTTCAGACAGTGCAGCGATTGTTTTCGTTGGTAATTCTTTGTAGTTTAAACCAGTAGTTTCATCCGCATTGAACACTTGATCGCGTGTCAAACCATATTCATCAATCATAGCTAACTGTCTTTTATATTCGTCAACGATTTCAAAGCTTGCGGCGCTCAATTTTTCGTTTTCGATTTTCAGTTCTTGTATACCGTGGCGATTTTTGATCTTTTCCAACTAAACGCTGCTTTCCTTGAATGAAGGATCGCCATTCAATTTCATGTTGAAAATCAACGCTTTTCGGCAACGATTGGTCCAGGCAAAGCGACACCTTTGCTTCTTTTTTTAGCGAACCACAAATACAGAGTCGTGTCGAGTGATTCATTTGTGGCTTTTTCACTGTCTTACGATGTTTCAACCGACCATCCAACGATTCCATTTGCGAAGCATACTTTTTAATTCCTTCAGCATTTTTCTTTGAATCATAGATTGTTCTCAAAACATCATACATTTTGCTCAATGCGACAGTAGAAGCACCTTTCTTTAGTTCTGCAATAATTTCTATTTTTTTTTATTGGCAAAACAACACGTTTTCTTTTTGATGCTCCAGATGTGAAAGGCTCCAGACAAAAAGATTCAAAACCTTCAATTATCTCTCCAGGGCTATTAAAGGAAATATAGTTGATAACTACTGATATAGTTGATTAATTTAATTATTATTAACTATCTCGTAATGGACCATAGTTTGTATAATTCGCCACAGTTGGATTTGTTCACTTTTATGCTTTCGGTTGTCTATCCTAATAGATTTTTGTATTCTTTTATTTATCTCTCTAAATTCATGATATTCTTTCCTTCTATTACTTTGCATTTTTCTCCTTTTTTCCATTAATGCTTGTGTTTGTGGACGGATTCTTTCGTTATATGATTTCGTTATAAAGAAATATATAACGGGCTTTGTCACAAAAGTTGATTTTGGTTGTCACAAAAGTTGCCAAATTTTGCTAATTTTGAGCACTGTACTTTTGAATTCAATATTACAACTGTTTTGTAGGAAAAGTTGCAATGGTGCTTAATTTAAACTGGTACGAACCGGAGACAAATAAAACTGATGATATTATTGCAGCTGAAACAAAGATGCAGTTCTCAGTAAGTTTCCAATACATATCCCGTAAAATTTAATTAACGCATTTATTTATATATTTTAGTGGGGCTTTTTTGGACACGCTCTATATCATGGTGACTGGCCAGAAATTATGAAATCTCGTATAGGTTTAAGAAGCAAATTAGAAGGTTATGCTAAATCACGTCTTCCTGAATTTACCCAAGAAGAGATAAACTATATCAAGGGAACAAATGATATTTTCGCTTTCAATACATATACGACAAGTATGGTTAGAGCTATTGACGAACCAGAAATTGGAGATCCTACTCCTGAGAAAGACGTCGGCGTGTATGAGTATCAACCTGATGACTGGATTTCTGGTGCTTCACCTTGGTTAAAGGTTTGTTCTTTAATCATATTTTATTTATCTTGCAATTTAATCGGTAAGAAAATAAAGTTTAAGATATTTATTCAGTATTCAAACAAATGGTCGTAAATATATTATTAATGAAATATTGGAAATACCTACAAATAATTATTTTTATCTTTTTTTTGCATTAAGTTCTCTGGAATAGCTTTTAATTTAATCGAGAAACAGTCTATACTCAAATTAAAAGATACCTCAATGTACGTCATAAATTTTGACGCTGTCAAGAATTAATGGTACCAATTATCATCATCATCATCTAGTCCTTTGCGTGCACTGCGGGACATAGGCCTCCCTCATTTTTGTCCATTGTACTCTATCTTGGGCACTTTTCTTCCAATTTCTTGACGTCTTGTCGCAGGCAACACACATTGGTCAAGTGTGTTACAAAAATCATAACTTTCCATTTAAATAGACCCTGGACCGATGAAGGTTAGATCGGAAGTTAGAGAAGGTTAGATAGAAGGTTAGAAGGTTAGGTTATTGTTGAGAATGTAATACATTTATATTGTATACACAGATATATTGGTGTAAGAGTAAGCGGAACGCACCCATAGTGTCATGGGTTGACATGACAGACAATAATAGTAATGTCAATGAGTATCATGTAGTTGTAGGTAGTAGTAAGAAGTATGGTGGCTTAAGTTAGGTTAGTTAATTAGTATGTATGATATAGGAAATAAAGCCTTTTATAATAGTAGTAAAGTACGACTATTTATTTTCCAAATCCACACCTTAACATGGTAGCAGAGGTCCGTGGTTGGAAAGTCGTACCTTTTACAACAGAAAAAGTTTGGTGCAGTTTGAAAAAAAAAAGTGTGACACATGATGGCAGGTAGTAGTGATTTTAGAATACCTATATTCGATGGGGAGAATTATAAAATGTGGAAAAAACGTCTTATGCTATTTTTGAAAATGAAGAAGTGTGATGTTGTGGTAACCAGACCGAAAAATGAAAATGATGATACAAATTGGGATGACGATGATGTAAAAGCAATGAATTATATATGCGGTGCAATATCGGATCGACAGATGGAGTACATCGACGAAAAAACTACGGCGTATGAGATGATAAAGAAATTTGATAATTTATATTTGAAAGAATCAACGGCATTGCAGATAGTATGTAGAAATAACTTGGAAAGATTAAAATTGAACAACTATGGAGACTGTGCAACATTTTTTAGTGACTTCGAAAAAGCTATAAACGAGTTAAAAAGCGCGGGTGCTAGTGTGTCTGAAAAGGAAAAATTGAACTATATGTTAAACACGTTGCCAGAGTCGTACAGTTATATTGGTGATTTAATAGATACATTAAAAGAAGATGATCAAACTGCAGACTACGTAAAAACTAAGGTTATGATGTCCGAATTAAAAAATCAAAACAATGATTTTGGAAGAAAATCCAGTACATTTGTGGTAAATAAAGGTCGACAGGATCGATCATGCTTCCAGTGTGGCGAAGTTGGTCATTTCAAGCGAGATTGCAAAAATGGCGCCAATCAAGCGTCGGGTAATGGCGGACAAACGACAAGCAGTAGAGGCTGGTGGAGAGAAACGCGAGGTCGACAAGAAGCCGGAAGAGGAAGCTACGTCAGAGGACGTGGCCACTCACGTGGACAGCGCGGAACGCATGGAACAAGTGCACAGCGGTTCAACCGACAAGGACAGAAGAACGAAGAGCGAAACAGTGCTTCTTGGCTTACAACAGTAGCTCTTGGTAAGGATATGTCAGTTATTGCACAAAATACTGAAATAGGTAATGTAAATAATTGTATTGAAATAAAATGGCTTTTAGATAGTGGTTGTACAGACCACATTATTAATGATGAAAAATTATTTGATAAATGTAAATTACTTAAAGATCCCATTAATGTTTATTTAGGAGATAATAGGGTTGTAAAAGCTACTAAAATTGGAAATGTTTTAAGTTACTTTGATGCTTTTGGTAAAAAGAGTTTAGTAGATATGCAAAATGTTTTCTATGTTAAAGATATGAAATCAAATTTGATAAGTTATAGCAAAATAACAGAAAATAATAAGATTATTTCTCTAGGTAATATTTCAAAAGTTTTTGATAAACTTGGTAATATAACAGCAGTTGCTTTAAAAAATAATGGCTTATATATTATGAAAAGTAAATTAAAATCAGTTGAATTGCATGTAAATGTTGCAAATAAAGATATGAATAATATGAATCAAAAGGAAAAATGGCATCGTTTATTAGGTCATGTAAATTTTAAATATTTGAATATTTTATCTAAAGATCAGCTGTTGAATGGAATTCCTAATGAGTTTGAATCTGAATTTATGAAATGTAAGATTTGTATTGAAAGTAAAATGCATAATATTCCGTTTGTAAACAGTAGAAAAAAAGCTAAAGATATTTTAGAGATTGTACATACTGATGTTTGTGGGCCTTTTCGAACTACTGGGTTTAAAGGTGAAAATTATTTTGTTTCTTTCATTGATGATTATAGTAAGATTTCTAAAGTATATGCTATAAAATCAAAAGCAGAAGTATGTGATTGTTTGAATGAATATACGAATGAAAGTGAAAATTTGACTGGAAAGAAAATAAAGATTTTAAGATGTGATAATGGGAAAGAATATTTGAACAGTAAAGTCTACAGATTTGCAAAAGAAAGGGGTATAGTAATTGATAATTGTCCTACATATGTACATGAATTGAATGGGACTGCAGAACGGTTTAATCGAACTATAATGGATATGTCAAGATGTTTGTTGGCTGAAGCAGATATTCATAAAAAATATTGGCCTGAAATAGTTTGTGCTGCGGTTTATTTGAAAAATCGTACTTTATCTGATACAATTGAAAAGAAAACTCCATATGAAATATTTTTTGGACAGAAACCTGATGTTTCTAATTTGCGTTTGTATGGAAGTAAAGTTTTTGTACGAAGACCAGAACAGAAGAGAATCTCTAAATGGGATAAGAAAGCTGATATGGGAATTTTAATTGGTTATAGTAATGTTGGTTATCGTGTATTATTAAATGGCAGAGTCATTGTTGCTAGACACGTGGATATTGTTGAAGAAAACGTTAAGTGTATAGGTTTAGACTTTAACGAATCAGATAATGATAATAATGAAGAGTGTTACCCTGATAAAATTGATGAAAGCTCTGAAAATGACTCAATAGATGAAACTTTTGAAAGTACAAATGAAAGTATGGATGATAGTGTGAATAAAAATGAACCTGAGTTACCTAGATCTCACAGAGCCAAAAATCCTCCAAAGAAATTTGATGACTACTATGTATATAATAGTAGTATTTTTGTAAATATGTGTAGAACTGATATACCACATACATTTGAGGAGGCGATAAATTCTAATGAAAGTAAGTATTGGAAAACAGCTATGGACAAAGAAATTGATAGTTTAAATAAAAGTAAAACTTGGAAATTGGTTAAAAATGATACAAACAAAAATATTCTGGATGTTAAATGGGTTTATACTAAAAAGTCTGATAATACTTATAAAGCTAGATTGGTTGTACGAGGTTTTCAACAAACTGATGAAATTGATGATATTTATTCACCTGTGGCTAAAATGCAAACATTAAAGATTTTATTGTCATATTGTTGTCAAATGGGCCTAGTAATTGAACAAATGGATGTTGAAACAGCCTTTTTAAATGGTAAAGTAATTTCTGAAGTTTATATTAAACAACCTAAGGGTTATGAAGATGGAACAAGTAAAGTTTGTAAATTAGTTAAAGCTTTATATGGTTTAAAAGAAAGTCCAAGGGCATGGTATGAGTGCCTAGATACATTTTTGATAAATTTAGGTTTTGAAAGAAGTAATATTGATCCTTGTTTGTACGTTTATAAAATTGGAAATGATATTATTTACTTATTAATTTATGTCGATGATTTATTGATTTGTGGTAGAAATTTAAATGAAATTAAAAGGATTAAAATTTTATTATCAGAAAAATTTAAAATGAAAGATATTGGTGAAATTAAAGAATATCTTGGTATTACTGTTGATTATGATTCTAGTAAACATGAAATGAGATTGGATCAAAATAAATATATTGAATTATTAAGGAAAAAATATAATTTAGAAAAAGGTAAACTGTATAATACACCTATGGAAGTAAATTTAAAAATTGATAAATCTGATCATTGTGAAAGAAATATTAAATATAAAAATTTAATTGGTGCACTATTATACATAAGTTCGGCAACAAGGCCTGATATAAGTTTCAGCGTAAATTATCTGAGTAGATTTCAAAATTGCTATAATGAAACGCACTTTAAATATGCTGTACGAATTTTGAAATATTTATGCTTAACTAAAGATTTAAAATTGTTTTATAACAGAAATGAAAAAGTAAGTATTATTGATTGTTATGTGGATGCCGATTGGGCAGGTGATCATTTAGATAGAAAGTCTACAACTGGTTTTGTAATAAGATTGTTTGGTAATGTAATTTATTGGAAATCTAGAAAACAAAAAAGCGTTACAAAAGCTTCAACTTTTGCAGAGTATGTAGCATTGTCAGAAGCAGTAAGTGAATTGATATTTGTAAAAGAATTGTTGAAAATATTTGATATTGAAATAATAAAGCCAATTGATGTTTATGAAGATAACACTGGTACAATTAGTATAGCTAATTATGGCAATTTTACAAAAAATTCTAAGCATGTTGAAATTCATTATCATTATGTAAATGATTATGTTAAAGCAAATGTTATAAATGTGGTTAAAGTAGATTCTGATGATAATATTGCAGATATTTTTACGAAGTCCTTGGGCCAAGATAAATTTGAAAAATTTCGAAGTATGTTAAATTTGAATTAATGTAAATACAATGTAAATGTAAGGAGGCGTGTTGAGAATGTAATACATTTATATTGTATACACAGATATATTGGTGTAAGAGTAAGCGGAACGCACCCATAGTGTCATGGGTTGACATGACAGACAATAATAGTAATGTCAATGAGTATCATGTAGTTGTAGGTAGTAGTAAGAAGTATGGTGGCTTAAGTTAGGTTAGTTAATTAGTATGTATGATATAGGAAATAAAGCCTTTTATAATAGTAGTAAAGTACGACTATTTATTTTCCAAATCCACACCTTAACAGTTATATCTGGTAATTATTATTTGGTACATATAAGGATGACTAGTTTCATATACAGTATGTTAAGTTTTAAATTAAATATTAACCCTATAAATGGCAACACTGCGCATCGTCGACTTTCCGCGAATCTCTGTTGACTCCTCGCCAATAATTTGTCATTATACCATGGTTGTTTAAAACCATAACAGCGTAGATTTTAAATTTATTTTTGTACTCAACATGACTGTTTATACGCCCGCAGAAAAGGTTCAAATAATAAAATGGTTTTATGGTGGTAATTCTGGACAACAGTGTGTAGATTTATTTTCTGTGTTTTTGAGAGGAGACCAATTCCTTGCGTACAGTCAATTTATAATATTGTTAAAAATTTTGAGAGTTGTTATTGTTACAAAAATTGCAGAAAATGTCACGCTCAAGAAGTGTCACCAGAAAAATTTGAGGAAAGAAGGATACTGGGATACACTTATGCAACAATCGAGGTAGATTTAAGACGTTCAAGCAGAAGCTTTGCTAGAAAGTTTGTTAGTAATGTTACCTTAACGAAAGTATGAAAAAGCACGGTTACAAAAATTTTAAATATTCGAAATCGCAGAAGCTTTATTTAGATGACTAATTTCGAAGAATGGAGTTTTGTGAAACACTAATAAAGAAGGATTTTATTAAAAATATTTTATTCACTGATGACTCTCCTGTTTCGTTAGTAGGGAGACACAATCCTTCGATTATGAGGTATTGGGCATGGAAAAACCAGCACAGAAGTGTTGATTATCGAAATCAACGTCCCCAAAAGTGAACGTCTATACTAACATCTTAGGAGACCACATAATAGATCCATTTTTTATTAAGAGCAACCTAAATAGTAAAAATATACCTCGATTTGTTACAGAATCATGTTATTCCCGCCATTTTCAATCTTCCTGATATAAAAATATGGAGAATTTTTGGTTTCATCAAGACGGCTGTTTAGTTCACAACGCTCGAATACTTAGGGAGTAGTTAAAGAATACTTTCCCGAATTGAGTTATCAGTGGAACAGGCGATATTAGGTGACCTGCGCGATCTCCAGATCTTACACCTATGGACTTTTTTTTTTTGAGATATTTAAGAAACATCATCTACGATCATCCTGAGGCTAGAGCCCAAAATTTGAATGAATTAAAAATCCGAATAAGAGAAGTCTTCAATTCTGTTACAGCAGAAACTCTTTCATCTGTCCGCAGAAGTTTTTATGACTTCCTATAGATTGGATACTGTTCAGCCGTAGAAGGTCAAATATTTGAACCATTTCTGTAGGAGATAAAAAATAATTTTTTTTTATTAGTAATTATTTTTTATTTTCAATAAGAGTTATTTTTTTGTTTTATCCTATCAAAAATGTTTACATTATTAAAAACCGATATAAACGCACCGCCTTATAAAGGTCAGTATAATTTTATCGAGTTTAAGTTATAAGAAATGAACCGGGCATACGTATGAAAACAAAAATCGACGAACGAAGGTGTATATCCCATGCATTGTTATGTATTACCAAATGGTTTTCGTATTCTCGTTTTCTGTCTAGGTGTCGGACGGGATCGAAGAATTACAATTAAGTAGATCGGAGGGACAATGTTGCCGATTTTCGCGCTGCATGTAATGTATAATATCTAATCCAAAACATAAAGTACTGTATCAAGTTTTTCTAAATTTTTGAGATAGAAATTTAATAATTACATAGTCCTTTTCCAATAGAATTTGAATTTGAATTATTTTAATTTCAACAAAAGGTTTACTTAATAAATTCCTATTTGCAATTTCGAATAGTCAATAATGATAAGCTTTAAATGAAAACTACAATCATTCCCATTACCCTAAATAAGCTGTTCTGAAATTTTATTAATCAATCTAAAATATTGTAGGTAGTTCCTTGGGGTATGCGTAAATTACTTAGATGGTTTAAACAAGAATATTTTAATCCAGAAATATTTATTACGGAAAATGGATATTCTGACGCCACTGGTCAACTAAATGATCCCAACAGAACAGATTATATACGTGTAAGTAACTTAGTTTTTTAATATGCTAGAAGAAAAACAACATCCTTTAATTTAAATAAATACAATTTTAGGTAACTGTTTTTAATATTGATAATATGTCTCTTCTTCTTCTTCTGCTTATTTTTTTTATGTAGACATGACTTTGTCTGTTTTTCAATATGTCTCTAGTAAGCTGCCGTTCGTGGTCTTCGTACTGATCATCTTCCTATTTAAGAACCGTCTCTTGCTATCTTTACTACTCTGTTTGTTGTCATTTGGCTTATATGATCGTTCCATTACACTCTTCTATTTCTTACCCTGTCCTTGATGTTCTCCATCTTGCATCTATGTCGTATATCTGTACTTCTCTGTCTGTCTCATAGTGTTTTACCATCAATTTTTCTAATTGTTTTCATCTCTGCTGTTTCTAACATCCTTTTGTCCTCACTGTGTCAGGTCGTGCTTCTGCCGCGTATGTCATTATTTATCTGATGACTGTTCTGTAAATTCTGCATTTCATTTCTTTCCCGATATTTTTATTTCTCCATATTGTTTTATTCGGGCAATTTGCGACTTTGTTTGTTCTATTCACTTAATCTTCCATTTCTTTTTCGGGCTTTTCCGTAGTTAGGTAATGTGATGCCTAGATATTTAAACTCCATTACTTGTTATATTATCTGACCTTTCAGCTCCAATTTACATCTTAGTAAATTTGATGTTATAACCATGCATTTTGTTTTTTTTTTGGAGAAATTAACATTGTACATTTTCTAGAGGTTATATTGAATTGGTGCAGCATACGTTGTAAATCGTCTTCACTTTGTCAGAATAGTGTCACAATCAAATTAAACAATAGAGGACTCAGGGAATCTTCCTGTCTTATCCCATTTTCAGCTTCAATAGGGTCAGTTAGTTCTTCTTCTAACAAAAACCAAACTGAATGTTTTAGCCATTATGGAGCTACTAACACTTTGCACAGACAACAACACAGACACTTTACTTTTAACTAGATAATGATTTGTATATCTGAGACTGCTTCGAGTCTAAGATTTATGGAGACCTAGATACGATGCTTATCGTAATTGAGGACGTCCTCCAACATGGTACTCGGACTTCATCAAGCGCATCCTACACAACTGGATTCAAAGTGCTCAACATCGGATCTTCTTCTTATCGCGCCATCTCCTTTTGAAGGTTGGCTATTCAAATGGCAATTGTAGCTTTGGAAACTGCTGCACGAAATATTTCTGTGGATGAGTGATCCAACCATCTCCTCAGGTCTTTTAGCCACAATTTCTGATGTGACTAGAGAAATTGTGAACTTGTTGAAAATTAATCAGGGTTGAGGGCATTGCGCATACAGAGAGGGGTTCAAGAATGAAAATTTGATATATAAACTTTTAGATATGAAAAATTAAGAAGATTCACAAGAAACTAAATTCATGTAGTTTTTAAAAATTTTTAATAAAAAAATCCTTTTATAAAAGGTATGTTAATATAAAGACCCCATCAAAGTAGAACACAGAACGTTTTCAGAATAACTATTTCATCATCCGTGCTATCTGGATTTACACGTTAATCCAAATAGCACTGATTATGGAATATCCGTGATGTAGCCCGACAGGATTTTTATAATAATATACCTTTTATAAGGGTATTTTTGAATAATTTTTTTTTATTAAAAATATGTGAGAATGTGTAAACAAAAACAAAGTCGAAATGGTTGGAAGCAGCTAAGTTGTATAATATTAGTTATGAAAATATTTGAAGGTTGAGAGGGAGAAAATCTTGGTGGAATGAGACATGACGATTAACGTAGTTGGAACTTCTTTGCTTTTCTTTTATCATTTTCAAGTGTTCATATAGGCCAAATATTAAAAAAACTTTTTTTATAGAATGTTGTGTATGCGAGTAACGTCTTCTGGGATATTGAGAGTGTGGTTGTATTGTTTCAAATGCTGAGAGAAAGTGGATGTGTCCTCTCTTTTGGTATGTTCTGGAGAACGTAATGACAATGATCTACAGATTATACTTATATATGTAGCATTACAGTTGAATATTCAAGTTTATGGACACCACTACGATTCATGTAGTTGAGGGGTCTTCCGAGTTACACACTGGTCTAAGTTGTAGGGTACTTGAAAATAAATTTGGATGTTGTCTACTGATCTTTCGATGAGATTTCTAATATCTCCAAAGAGACTCTCATAATAATATGGTTAAGAAGTGTAAATGGGTGTAGTGATTGAATCTTTGGGAAACGCAGTCTCTTGTAGGGTTTTGAGGTTGTCTCATTTTTTTGTGAATGAATTTACTGATAATATTCGGCTCATATGCATTGTTAACTGCTATCTGTATGGAGATGTTAAATTTTTTGGTGTAATAATTGTATTGAGATAAAGGTGTATTCTCTAGATATTGCATGTAACTATGGAAAGCTGCATATTTATTTGACATTGGATGATTAAAAGAATAGGGTATGCTATGATCAGTCTGTGTAGGTTTCCTGTAGATACTAAAGTCGAATCAGTCATTTAATCTGGTAATGGTAAGGTCCAGAAAGTTGATTGATTAAGATCATTTAAGTTCCATGGTGAACTTAATGTTGTGATGAACTTGGTTGATTTTAGAAAGTAATTGATCTGCTGAATTGGAGTTACCTGAAATAAAGACTAAATAGTTGTCAACATGTCGAAACGAATTGAGTATTTTAAGATTTTTCGTGATGTGTGTGGTTTCTAGATGATCCATAAATATATCAGCTAGAAGAGGAGAGAGACAGCTACCCATTACTAAGCCATCAAGTTGTCTGTAATATTCATTATTAAACACAAAAAAAAACATACACAGACCCATATACACAATAGACCCATATGTATAACAGACCTATACACAATCTTTTCATAGACTTTCGACAGGCATATGATAGCGTAGAAAGAAGCCAAATATGGAATGCCATGGCGGAGTTCTCAATACCAAAGAAACTCATTCGGATGACCAAAGTCTGTATGGAGGGTAGAATATCTAAAGTACGTGTAAATAATAAACTGCCTGGCAGCTTTGAAATCAACAGTGGACTTAAACAGGGTGAAGCGTTATCTCCACTACTTTTTAACCTTGTATTAGGACGAAAAATTTTCGGACCTCACCATGACATCACCACAAACCAGTATAAGATCAGAACCAATATCGAATTAAAAGCACTCTACAACAACGCCGATATTGTCCAAGAAATTAAATCACAGCAACTAAGATGGGCAGGCCACGTGCACAGACTGCATAACGAAAGACTTGTAAAACTGGTATGGGAGGAAATTCCCACAGGCAAAAGACCACTCGGACGTCCCAAACTGCGATGGAGAGATAACATCTAAGCAGATCTCCAGAAAATAAACATTCCATTTGACCCTAGGTTGATGGAAAACCGAACAAATTGGAAAAAAGTTGTACAGTCAGCCAAGACCCACCGAGAGTTGTAGCGCTACGTGATGATGATGAGTGAAAGCATTGTAATGATGGGACGAAGATGTACTTTTTGGAGGATATTGAGTAGATGACTAGTGTTTTTAACTGAAAAAATAGGGGCCAAATTCGTCAAGTTATTAATGAGATTAAGTATAAAATTTAATAGAATAGAAACAGTGGTGTTGATGAAGAGAACTGGACGAATAAAACTGCCATTCCTTGTAAATCTTAGGTAAATCATACAATCTGGGTGTTAATGGATTACTTGGTAGTTTGTAACATGGGGCAAAATGTTCGGAGAAAAAAATCTGAAAATTGTTTGATGCTATCGTTTAATTTAGTTATGAACTTTTTTGAGGGATCTTCCGGAAGTAGAGTGGAAATTTTTATTAGAAAGAAAACTAGTAACCTTTCCAATATATGGGAATAATAAATTTGATCTAAAATCACTAGACAGTTTCCTTTATCACCTTTGCTGATAATTAAGTTGTGAGTTTTAACTTTATGTTCGACGGATTTGAGTGTATTTAGTTGACCATTCTGTTTTTTTTATAAGAAAATTAGGGGAAAGAAGATGTAAATTGCATGTTTTGCAGAGTGGAAGGAAAATTAAAGGATGATAAGTTGTTGATCTTATTTCAGAATTGGAGATAGAAGTATTTTTATTTTTAAATTTATTGATGGTGTTGAAGCACGAGTTTCTAATTGAAATTTTTTGATTTAATAGGACAGAAGATTTTAAATGATACTGTTTAGTAATTAAACTTAAGAAGTCGCTGGTTTAGATTATATTGAATAAATAATTATAACGAAAAAATGTGATATTGTTGATACATAAAAATGGGGAAAATAGCAATTATAAATTGTAAAAGTAGAAATAAATTAGAAATAAACTGGTTTACTCATTATCAATGTTTTATACAAGAATAGACTCACCTCTGATTCGATTGATGAATTCGTACCAAGCTGTAGAGTTGGTCGGTGGTACCGACGCCCGTGACGAGGGACGCCGCGTCACCGAGACTCAGCATAAGACCGGTCAATGTGTTTTCGTTCACTCGTGACGAAGAAGTGGCAAAAGTGTCCGTCTTGAGATCGCTACCAGGGCAAAACCGCCCTCTGATCGTTGGGTGGTCAATAGATACAAGTGCCATAAATCAACCTTTTTTGACATAGAATACAAAGAAAAAGCCCAATTCTGCGTACGTTAACATGATAAATGAGAGCCAGTTTGAGTTTTACGAACTCACAGGAAATAATATATTTTAAAAGATTGAAATACAGCACCCAAATTAGGTCATATTACAGTACCGTAACAGAAAAAATATTAACTATAAAAATATGAAATGAATGCGCGCATTCTTTCTCAAACAGATACTATCTAGCTTAATAGAGATGATCTAAAGGTCTTTTTAAGAGACCTTTCTCGGGATAGAGTATTTGAGACCTAGATTTAATAGTCAGTTAATTTTTATCAAAGACAACTGAGGATAAATTATTGAGTCTGGGATGGAATGAAAAATTAGAGAATTTAGTCCTGCTGTTATTACTATTTTGATTAAAAGTTTTTGATTTATGTTTAATAAGGTTAGTTGGTTTGGATACAAGTAAATTGAATTTAATGGAGGTTATATTGTCTAGTATGTCCTGACCATCATTCAAAAAGTTGTTTAAGTTATAAAAGCCTAATAACTTTAGTAGAGAGTAATACATTACCTTGAGTTTACAATTTGTGAGGTTCAGCTTACTATAATGGTTACCAATCTCTTGTTTTTTAATTTTTATTTGGAAGGTGTTTTTTAGGTTGACTGAAACATTTCCTAGGGTTTTAAAAAGTAGGAAATATATTAATCTTGATAAATTGAGAGATAAACCAAATATCCAGCTTCAAAATGCACCTTTTAGTGGTAAAGCGCATGTAATGGGGAGCCAATCTGACCATACGGCTAATTTAAAATCCACTGTTCTTTAACCTTGGTCAAAATTTAATATTTTTATGTTTACGTTCATTAAAGTGTTGACACATTTTAGGGAACTGCACTGATGATTAAGTTATTAGTCCGAAAAAGTTTTGTGATGTTACCCGAAAGGGTATTTTTAGAATATATACCTTTTATAATGGTTTTATAAATAAAAGTTTTTACGATTCATATAACAGAAACTACAGGAATTTCATTTTCATTGTAGATTTTGAACCTACTTTTGCTTCTTTTTTTCTATCAACAGGTTTTCTTTTTAGGAGTATTTAAGTGCTGTTAAAGATGCAATGGATTATGATGGTGTCAACGTCATTGGTTATAATGTTTGGAGTATAATTGATAATTTTGAGTGGAATGCTGGGTATACGTAAGTATAAACTATATATTTTATTGGAAGATCTTAAAATATTATAGAATTTTATACTATCCATATTCATAAAAGTTTAATATTTTTTACTAAGACTGTTTAGAAATTTGATATATAGTAATAATAATATATGTAGATAATAAAGTTAGATTTTTAAAAGTATTAAAGAAATATTATAATTAATGTTGTATTTTGTAAGGAATTATAAATACAATTATAAAATAAAAGTCCAAAGAGTCCACCACATATATGTCCTTCCTCGTGTGCCCTGCTAGGTTTTCTTTGGTCTTCCTCTCGTACTTCCGTTATGAACTTGCAACTTAGTAACTCTTTTTATTGTGTAATTAGTATTTCGACGTTGTACCGGCTTTAACCATCTAAATCTATGCTTTCCTATATTGGCATTAATGCCCATAAACTTCTTCCAATAACTCCAATTTGTTTTAATGTTTTTTGACACTTCACTCATCCATATAAGCCATTCTCATTTTCTCCACATACATTCGTTGTTCCTCTTTTTTTTACCTGTCCAACACTTAGTCCCGTACATCATAACTAGTCATAGGACAGTTTTATACAACTTGTCAGTCATTAGAATCGTCCATTTAATCCATCTTACCCCAATTCTTCTGCTTGAATTTTGACTTACTTCTTCATTACTCTGCAATTCAAATCCTAGGTATTACACTTAAAACTATTATTTTTCCAATCATTTTATTTGATCAGAGTTATCCGACGCTGGAGATCACTATTGCAAAGGCTTCTCGATCTTCTGTCACATTGAATAATTGTCCTGCATTAGATATCTGAGTACATTCACGAATGTTGCTTAACCAAGAAACCTGTTTTCTTTCTACACCTCTACGGCCTTTTATTTGAGTTCAAGATCAGTTTTAGTATTTTATATTGATTTCTATTCACTATATGTCCCAGAAAAGATATTTTCTTGTGTTTAACAGTTAACAGCAATTTTCTATCTTTGTTGATCCTTCTTGGTACTTTCTCATTAGTTTTTCTTGCTGTCCAAGGTATCTGCAGCTTCCGTCTGTGAGTCAATATTTCCAATGCTTATCTTCTGTTTTATACCAAAGTACAGACTGTAAGGTACAAAATGTAACCTTGTATGACTCGTTTGATGGATACACATTGATTTAGGTATACGCTCGAGATGACCCAGTCGTCTTAATCTATTTTAAATTAAAGCCACAAAGTTGTTTTCCCAATACGTCACATTAAGCTCTGCATATATATGCGTATGCCATTGCTCTTGCCCTCTTACTGTCCCAGAGATCATTCTCTATCTATAAATGATTTTTCACGTTATAAAATATTTTAGTATTCTATAATAAAAATTATTATTTATTTACAGCGTATAACCACTGCTTCAGACGTGTTTTAAAAATACATGTTAAATATTTTTATTTTTAGGGTGAAATTTGGTTTGGTAAATGTGGATATGAACGACCCCAACAGAACAAGAACGAAAAAAGATTCATTTTACTATTATCAAAAAGTATGCCAGACGCATTGTATTGTGGATCAGTGTATCGACTGATATTCAAAATACTATCTGAAAACGGTGTAATAATCTTTAATAATAATAAAAAAAATTAAAATCTAAAGGTGTTTTTTTTTATAGTAAAATTTTATTATTAAGTACTGTAGATATAAGTATATACACAATAGGACAAACATATGTCGTAAATGAGAGAGAGTGTATAACATAGGTTGCTGCGTACAAATATGAGAGCACTTATCTGTAATGCTACCTATCGAACGGTTTATAAAATAAAGAGAGAGGGAGAGAGATAGAGAGAAAAGTATATAGCATACCCAAATAAATCAGTATACATTATATATATATATATATATATATATATATATATATATATTATATATATATATATATATATATATATATATATATATATAAGGATCACTCAGACGAGTGGTGGGTTCTTATATCGGTCTCAAGGTGGAGAAATAAAAGACAAAGTTGATAGGCTACTTTATCTATTTTGAAGACGTTTCGCTTTCGTAATCTGAAAGCATCATCAGGTCATCTAAAAAGTACAATATGAGAACCACACAATCATGGAAACGATGTTATAAATGTTACCTTAAAAAGACATGTAGCAGTCAAAGATATTAACAAATATGTGAATATAACTCAAGTAAATGGACATTATACGGTGATATTGTATAAACAATCAAGTGACTAACAACATATAGCAACTTATAAAAAATTAGCACAGTAGCTGACCATGTGGTCTAAAGTAAATGAAATATTATATTTAATCTTAAGTAATGCAAAGAAGAACCAAGAAAATCATAGATTTACTTCCAACTATTTGATAATTATTAAGCTTTGATTTTTACTTTAGGTAGAATTTTAAGTGATGTTAATAAAAAATTATTTAAAAAGTAGTGTAAATGAAGTTACCGATCAAAGCCTTACAACTGTCGCCGGAAAAATGGCGTTAAATGAAACAGACCGAACTAAATCATGAAAAGACAGCCAACCTTGAGGTCAAAAATGTTTTTTTTGACAGAGCAACAAGGTAGAGGTACCAACCCAAATAATTGGGCGGTCTATTTAAAAGTTTAAATGAGTTTGGATGACAACCCGCTTGTAAGAGACAAACCAATAAAAGAAATTGGTATTATAATAGCAATTCCTCGCATTAACCAGTCTAGAACTAACAAACAGGAGAATTTCATTAAACCTCATATATAAATAATAACGTTAAACATTATGGCTTCATAATCCGCCACAGGTGATTAACGAAAAGATAATTTCCACAGCCCAAGGTTCAAACGCTTGGAACTGTAATTTGTAAAGGATTCTATGAATCCATTACAATATTTGTATTATATTATTCAACGAGAAAATTGTTCACACTAATCTAAGTATGGGAATTGGTAATAAAGAATATGCAATGTGAGTTGCATATGCTACAGTGATTTAAGTAAAAAATTAAAAAATATTTGATTATTTTATTTTATTATTAATTTATTTCTATTTTATGTATATTTTAATTATTTAATAAAATATGAGTTCAAAAAAGTGCACCTTAGATGACATTTATATAGTGAAAAGATCATAAAGCCTAATTCTGCAAAATTAAGGCATGATGTATTTGGCTCAAGTTACTTATGTCAGTTCTCTTATTTAAAGCATTAGGATGTTTAAGAATTGAACACATTTCCAAAAACTGCCTTTTAACTAGATTGCGTTCAGTGCCAAGAGTCTTCACTTCATTGAAATCCACTTTATGTTTTGTATTTATCGCGTGTTGCGCCAGAGCACAAGTGTGTTTTGATAAATTAATGTCACTACGATGTGTAGTGAGACGACCTTTTAATGATGTACCAGTCTGATCAATGTAACATAAATCGCAATTAGCGCATGGAATTTGATAAATCGTGTTAACTTGTTCCAAAGTGGACAAGGGTGTTTTAGTTTTAGAAAACAAATTTCTAACAGTTTTAGCATTCTTGACAGCAATTTTAACTGGTATGTTATTTTGTTTATACAGTTTAATAAGCTTCTCAGTAACTTGAGGAAAATAAGGCAAAGAAGAATAATGGATGGAAGGATTCTCAAGATTAGTATCATGCAGAACAATGCTATTAATTGAGTTATTTGAAATGGTTCTAAGTTGGTCACCATTGGGTATGTCATCAAATGAGGAACCATAGCTCTGTGAGTAGAGGTATTTATTTATGATAGATGAAGGATATGAATTCTCTATTAGAATGTTTCTTAATAACTTAAGGGATTCCCTTCGATTAATTGGATGTGTCAATTTATTTAATCGGCAGCTTAGAGCTTTTATAAGGTTTAATTTATATTTCATAGGATGACAGGAATGGTAATTAAGGAACCTATTAGAGGCCATTGGTTTTCTATACCAACTTGTGGTTAGGGTGTTATCTCCCATTCTAATGACACGCATGTCTAAAAAGGGTATACTATTGGTGATAGTGTCCTCAAGTTGAACAGTGAACTGTAAATGAGGATCAAACTCATTAAAGAAGGATAAGGTATCCTGAACCTTGTCAGGTGGTAAGGCTAGTAATAAATCATCCACATACCTCTTAATAAAAGGGATTTGAAAATCCAAAAGACCCAAACGGTCAGAAACCAAATCATCCAAAACAAAGTTAACAAGGATGGGAGAGATTGAGGAACCCATAGGTGTGCCAAATGTTTGAAGGTAAAATAGGTCATCAAAGACCAAGAAATTAGTGTCGAAAACTAGTTGCAACAGCTCTGCAAATATATCCTAAGAAACAGGGCAGTTAGGTTTAATAGAATTCCAATGATTTTTTAAGGAAGTGATAACACTGGACAAAGGTAAGTTAGTGAAGAGAGAAACTACATCAAAACTTACTAAAATGTAACCTTGTGGAAGTTGAAAATTGTTAATAAATTCACTAAAGTTAAAAGAATCAACAATATTGAAATCATTGTTGTAATTATATGATTTAGATAAAATGTCTGTTAGAAATTTAGCTATATTTTTATTAGGTGGATTAATAGAAGACACAATAGGTCTCATGCTCAACGTAGGTTTATGTATTTTTGGTAGACAATAAAATCTAGGAGCATATCCATCATAATTGTGTAAATATTTAGCTAAAGGTTGATCTATGATCTTTGTATTTTTTAAATGTGTATAAATTTATTTATTTTATTTGTGAATTTAGAACAAGGGTTGGTAGAGAGTGGTTGATAGTATCTATCATCATCTAACAGTGATTTACTCAAGCTGAAATATTGATCTCTATCCATAAGGAGAGTAGCATTACCTTTGTCGCTCGTAAGAACGAGAAGATTAGGGTGAGTTTTTAAAAACGATCCCTGTAAATCTTATCTAACTCCGATAAGGGTTGCATAGGGCGTTTGGTGAAATTCAACAACTCTCTCCTATCTATCTACTAAATCTACTAAATCTACTAAATCCTACATACTAATTAATACAATGACCATCAGAGCATACGGAATAGAGTTAGAAATAATCCACAATATCACCTACTTGGGTGCCAATGTTAACGATAACTGGGATATAAGCAAAAAATTAAGAATACGCATTGAAAAAGCCAGAGCTGTCTTCTTTAAACTAAAGAAAATTCTCATTAATAGAAATATTACATTAAATCTCATAATCAGATTGATATGCTGCTACATATTCTCAACATTGCTGTGTGGCATGGAGAGCTGGACTCTTACAGCAATACTAATAAAAAATTGAGACCTTTGAGATGTAGATTTACCGACGAATATTGCGGATAAGCATTGATTGAAAAATAGCACAGAAATAACAAAAACAATCAAAATTCGAAAGTTACAATATTTCGGTCATGTGATGAGACATATAGAGAGGTATAACCTTCTACACCTCATAATACAGAACAATATCGCCGGAAGAAGATGCCAAGACGGAAGAAGAACATTCTGGTTCCGAAATCTCCGAGAGTAATATCAAGAGACATCCGGTACTTTGTTTCGAGTTACTGTAAACATAGGTATTATTGCTAATATGATCACCAACGTCCGATAATTGGACATAATACTAAAAAAAGAAGAACTAGTACAAGTCTTTTGAATGTCTATATGCGCTATTGTCCATACACGTCACTATAACGAAAATCCTGATGGGAAGATGTGGCAACCATGTGTGTCGACTAAGACTACTCAGTGAACTATGCGAAAACTTCTAAACTTACTAGTTTACACAAAAAAGGGCACTACTAACTTATAATTAATTGCTCTTAAAGCAAACGCAGGGCAAATCTTAGACAGATTTGGAGAGCACAGACATGTTGCTCGGTTTGCAGTTTTGCAGTCTATATCTAACTCACATTAACAGATATTTAAATTCTCTAATTCTAATTATTTTTATGAAATTATTTTAAAACGAGCAGTATGATAAAAATTTAAACAGATAATTCAATATTGTTATTATTTGAATGGCAGTGATGACTTTTAAATTTTGACAATCGTAACGAATCCAATCATTTATTGACAGATATTCTTTTTTTTTACTTCTTATTTAGTGTCTGTATTTTGTTAGTTAGGTTTCACGCAGTTTTTAAGTTAAACCTTAGAATAAATATATGATGAATAAAAACTAATTGATCGAGAGTAGTGACTTGATGTGAAGATGTATTGATGTATTTCGTGATAATACCATTAACGCCTTCTCGTGACGCTAGTTCGATAATGTTCACCTCAGCGAATATAGTAAAGTATCTCCTAGATAGTAAAATATAGAGAAAAAAGTAATACAAAGTTAATATAGAAGTTTCGCTTCAAAAAAATGGTTAATTACTGCCATTTTTATAAACATGGAATTTAACATTAAAGATAAGAATCAACATAATCCCATAAGCAATCCAGAAATAATAAAAAAAATGGATTTGAGGATGACAACAATACTGCATGTAAAGGGCTTAACAAAAAAAAAAGAAAGTGTAGTAAATAATTACAATTTTTATTTCATCCAAAATCAAACAAAACAACACAAAGGCAATTTATATGTGGCAGTAACCGCTAGCTCACTAAGTGTCAGGATAAACGAGCATGAATCATATATCAAAAACAGAGA